CTTTTTTTTTTTTTTTTTGGGAGAGAAGAGGGAAACTTGAATCCTTGACCTCATAAAGACAAAATATTTATAAGGTAAGGAGTACCATTATACCAACAGTCAGTTGGTGAAAGCTCGTGAACTTAGAAGCCGGTTATCCTGATCAAACTAGAGGTTCCGAAATCATAGAAGAAGTCGAGGTCAATCAAAAGTCAAATCAGAGAGGCCAAATAGATTCCTCTAATTTCGTTCACTTTCTTTTATTAATGCCTTCTTTGTAATATTGCATCTAATATTAGAGAGAAGGATTGCATTATATACCTCTCATAAACTGATAAGCATCTATGATTTTCACTATACTTTTTGCTAGGGTTTGACAACATTTGACCACACATAATGATTGGTGAAGATTTCATTAAAGGATACAACCATGAATAAGACCTCTCTATTATGTTCTTCTTTACTTAGAACCCAATTCTTGATTTCACCTAAAAACCCCAACCTAAAACAGAACATATCCCCATTGATACTAAAATTAAATATGCCATCTAAAAGAACCCATTTCATATTTCCATCTCCCCATCACCCACAATGGACTATATCAATGACCATAGTTTATACAATACTGAGCTCCAAGATCAAAGGACTCATGTTATGATGCCATCAAGTAAACACCTCAAGGAGACCACACTACCATCAACACCAGAATTTTATCCAAATAAAAATTATTTACTTAATAATTCCATTTAAAAACATTAATGGAATTTTTTTTAACCAAATCAAGATTTTCCAAGAAAATTTTCTTTTCTTCCCAGCAAGAACTACTAAAGTTTCCAGCCTCCACAAGCAAACTAATTTTCAATTGAACATCACTTGCATACCAAAATCCCAACATAGACAAGATTTTCTAAGAAAATTGACTTTCTTGACAATGAAACAGAAAATTAAATTAGCACAACAAATTATATGTGATAAAATTTCCAAAATGACTCACCAGGACTAGAGATCTTCCAGTTGGCAATTGGACTGGAGGTTGATGACGCTGCATCGGACAAAGACTCTGGAGACTTCTGATGCTCATCAAGAAACTTCTGGCTCATAGAATAACAAAGCTCAAGAGCAGGCAAAGTATTGCAAAGCTCAGGAATTTCATCATAGCTGAACCCAAAACCCAGGTCCAAACACCCCTTAAGCTCCTCCAAATCCTCATCCGTTAAGCTCTTTGTCCTCCCCAGCTCATCTTCATCAGCTGTCTCCACATACCCTTCAAGATAAACTGGGTTTCTCTTCTTCTTGGTCTTGTTTTTGAGCCATGGGTCATCATTCTTGAACAACCCGTGTGGTGGGTTGGTCATGGTTTCCTCTGACAATCCAAGAGTTTCATGGTCTTGGTTTGGACCCTCTTGGGCAGAGATTCCATGATCTATGTGCCTTGATTCAGATGTGAAGCTCCTCATACTTCTTTCCCTCCTCTCAATCTTCTTCTTTTCTCTCTCTCTAAAAGTGCTAGCTCGTGTTGGGGGAGCCAGCTTTTAAAAGGCAAGAAAAGCGAACCGTCCAAACACACCTGTTATTCATGGGTGTTATACATATGGTTTTCAACTTATCATGTATGAACATACACATGCCATCAACATATGTTTTTGTCTAATTCACATGGTATTTTTTTTTCAGTAATATTAGATGAATTTAAAAAATAGACTAATAAATTAAATTTGGTAATTCTAATAATTGAATAAGTAATTGGTCCCAATAAATATTGGGACTCACGGTGAAATCATTGGTTGTAATTAACAAATTTAATTTTTAAATCTATTTTTAAGTCCATGTAGTATTACTCTTTTTTTTTTCACCAGTGGGAGCGAGTGTTCAGGTCAACTTATGCATATCTTGATTAATTTTCTCCCATATTCAATCAAAAATAATTCATTAATAGAGGTACGATATTAAATCATACCATAGTCTTATCATATGCTTCTACGACTCCACGTAGATATAAATATATAATGTGTATAGGACTGTAAATGTAATTTATATAGTTCAAATTTATTCATTTATAAGCAAAATGGATCTGAAGTCTAATTTTAGAATTTGTTTAATAATGAACAGAAACTCCTTTAATAAACATGTTTGAGTAATGACTTCTTCAAATTGAGTTCATTTATAAACATCTAAAGTTGTACAAATAAATTGAACTTAATCTTAAATACAATATAGACTTCAGTTGAAACTCAAATGAAACTTGACTATTGAATTCGTTATTTTTTTTTTATAAAAAAAATTAACAAATCGAATCTAAATACTTTTAGCAACGCAGCGAGTTGAACCCCAATAACTTGATCAAATTAGTTTATGCAACCGTATTTGGGATTAATTACACTTTGTCTTGTCCTTAAATAGTCTTCATCTTGCTTTGTTCTTTGAAGCGTTCATCTAACTACTTAATTAATTTTACATTGTCTCAAATATAAATAACTATTATTTTTTAGACAAAAAATATTAATATATCAGGACAAAGAGCCCGTTTGGAGCTAGCTAATTTTTTAATTTTAGAGAAAAAAAGTCTGTTTGGACTTTTCCATCATTTTTTTGGACAAAAATAACTTTTACCTAACACCAAAGAAAAGCTGAAAAAATAAGATTTATCCAAGGGCTTTTAGGGAAAAGTTAATTTTTTTAGAAACACTCCATTCAGTTTCAAGAATTTTTTTAACTCTAACTTCTTCATTTTATTTTTTAAATTTCTATTTTACACCCAAAAAAATTAGATCCAAAAGAGCCTAAATTGAAAAAAACCACAAATTTTGGGTAAAGTAAAATACCTTTTTATTAAATTTTGAATAAATATTATTTATGAGGGTAATGTGAAAACAATAGTGATTTGGCGAAAGAAAGTGTAATTAATCCTATGTCTTGTGCCTATCTGAATTGTGATGAGGTGGAATGGGGACAGCTATACTGTGTAGATAGTGATGGAGATCAGAAGTGGATACGTGGTTGTTGTGTGGATCACCGCATTTTGTTTTCTTCCTGCAAAGGAAGGTGCCTTATATGGTGGGGACCAGCGGGTAGGGTCCACCCATGTTGTCTTGTTTGTTTTTGTTTTATTTGGGAAATTTTGGAATTTAATACAAAAATTTAAACTTAATTAAACTAAATTATATTAAAAAAATTTATTTGATCCTAAATACATTTTTTTTTAAAAAAAATACTCAAGCACATATATTACTCTATTACTCTCTCTTTCTTTCTCTCCATTACTCTCTCACTTTCTCTTATCTATTTTATCTCTATCTCTCTCTTACTCTCACTCTTTATTTTTTCTCTATGTTGCTTTCTCTATTTTTCCCTTATTTTTTCTCTCTCACTCTCCCACCGATAATTGTTTTTTCAAATATATAAAGATTTGATTTAATTTTTTTATTTCTCTCTTTTCCTATTTTTTTTCTCACTGTTACTCTTTTTCTCCTTCTTATCCCTTTATATCAATGTTATAACCACACAATTTCACCAATTAGTTACAATTATTCTAATATACTAAACAGTTACTCGCGTGTTTTAATAAACTAAACAGAAATTACAACACCAGCCTAATTTGTCATTCAGTTGTTTACATAAATCAAAAAGTTACATTATTTCGTATCATGACATAATTATATCAATTATATACACCAAATTAGGTTTATTATTACACAAAAAGGTTTACCATTATATCCCCAAAAGATAACCATATCATGATACTAAATAGTACAATTTTTTAGTTTATGTAAATAACTGAATAACAAATTGAGTTGATGTCATAATGAGAGATAGAGAGAAAAAAATATGATAGAGATAAAGAGAGATAGAGATGGAGAAAAACTAAGGGAGAGAGAAAGAGAGAGTAAAAGAATAATAATTATGTATAATTTAAAGAAGGATAAATAAGTAAAAAAATTCTATCTCTAATAAGAAGATATTTTATGAAAATTAAAATTAATAGAATAAAATATTTAGCCATATACTCATCCATACACTCGGTGGGATGGGTTCCACCCATGTTGATGATGTTTTTGATTGTCTCTTTTTGCCCATGCTAAACGACAAAAGACTTTAACAAGGTGTATTATGGGCCATGAAGTTTTTATTTTGGTGATGAAAATATAGATAGAAAATGATTATCTGTTAACCAAATCATGATTATTGGTCCTTAATTCTAAAAAGTATAGTTTATCTTTCGATTTACCAATCCAACAAAGTGATCAAAGTTTGTAGGCTACTATATTTTTTTAAGGTTTTTGTCACAGTCCCAAACATAGTCAGGGTGTTAATTTGTGTCTGTCTCATTGTAATAATAATAAATTTTACAATTTTCACTATGCGACTCTTATAATTATAAATTGATGGTGCTGAAAATCTAGATGTATGAGAGAGGGAGGCTGAAGAGCTCTCTGTTAAGATATGTAGATTATATGAGATGTAGAGCGAAAAAGAGAGTATCACCAGTAGAAATTGACAAAAATACGAGATTCAGTGGTGCACGAGTTAAAAAATTTGGTTAATCAACTCTAAGGAGTCCCTTACTTTTACTACTTGTATTGCTAGGTACAATTACATCTTTTTTGTGTGCAACTGTTCATTTTTTTTGTTACAAGACAAGTGTTTGCCTATTTATATTAGCTAATAGAGTGGTCCTCAAGCAATTATGAGGTGGTTCCGTAATTTGTTAGGATATTGGATGGAGTATTTGACCGTTAAAAGCTACATTTCTCTAGACATGATGTGGTATTCTAGAAGCGGGTGACGTGATGTTGGTGACTTCATCCATGGATGCGATCTAGTTATAAACCCCAATTCTTTTGGTTTAAAGGTACTATTTATCTTGTGAAAGTTTTGCCTTTTTTAAGTAAAGTGTTCAAACCCTTTTTTTCTCTTCCCTCCCCAAAAAAATATAAAAATATAAAATATAAAATATAAAAAAATAATAATAAGTAAGCTCTGATACCAATTGTAAAACTCCGACACAATTCCATAAACATAACAAGTGTTTGCTAAACTCCACATATAAACATACTATATGAAACTATGATACGACTAAGTCATAAACTTGTTACATTTCACAAACATATGTGAAATTTATCAGCACTTAGATAAAAATCAAGAAAAATTGACAGTTCAAATATTTGCAGATTTTCTTATCATTTGCTAATCTGAAGAAGAAAAAATAATGTAAGGTGAGCATCAACAGCTAAGTAGAGTAACTCAATGCTAGGCAAACAAGTTTGAAAATAAATAATTTGACATGATTGGACATCAAAATAATTCATTTCATACATAAATAGTAGAACAGTAAAAGTTGAGTGAAAATAGTTAAATTGAAAATAGCAATACGATTACAACATCAGTACAATACCACATCGATGAGCAAATAATTCTAATAGATCACTCTAGGTCAATACAAACATACAATCTAACATTTTAGGGGACTTTCACCCCTAGGAAGATACACTCCTTGAATCAATTCGGTACCCAATTTCGAAGACCACAGGACCACCTAGGCATTTGCAAACCCAATAAAAAATTCTCTACATATTCAATCTAGAATGTAAACATTTTGCTACTTAAACTTATTTGCACTTACATTTCAATCAAAAAGATTCCGGAGTTTCATTCAATACAAACAATACGATCATTATGACAATTTGTGCAAACCACACTAAAACCCTAATTTGAGTTCGAATTCCAAGCCTGTATCAAAACACTCAATCATATATTTCAAAACATTTTAAACAACCATAAATAACATATGAAATAATTTAGAAACAAGTTTAAAAAACATCGCTTGTTCTAGAATTGAGAAATCCTACTAGTCATGGTAATCGATCTGAAACTGTTAAAAATAAAATAGTGTTAATTTTCAATAAAATTTCATGCACGTACTAAATTTAACTATTTAAAAATAAACATAAAATTAGTTTTACCAAAATCACCCAAAAATTGGGTCAAATCGGCTCTAGAGGATAAACAAACATTTTCACACCACATATTGACCCAAATATCGAATTGACCTGAATTTTTACCAAGACCTTTGTATAGACGTTACAAAAATTTTGGGATCAACTAAAGGTAAATTAGACACCAAACACGCCCTCACTCACCGTCGGGATGACCAGTGTTTCCATCTCCCCCTCTACTTCATTTTCTTCGTTTGAGAGTTTGACCAAAACCCTAGGTCCCTACTCAACTAGCCTCGATCCCCTAATCGCACACACTCACTTCTGTCCCAATTCTTGTTCACCGAATACTAGGTTGTTACACTAGTTCTGAGTTTTTACTTCTTATTGTTCTTCTCTTTATAGCTCAAGTTCCTTCGATCTCGCCGAGGAACCTGTTGGCCTAGATTCAGTCTTTGACTGAGTTGGGCTGTCTTGACCTACTCATTAGTGAGCAAGTTGAGCCTCTTCCTCAACTTGATAGTTCTGTTTTGCTAGATTGTGGGTGCAGCTTACGTGGCGATTTTATCTTTGGTATCATCATAAATAATTCATCTCCCTCCTCGAAAATTTTAAT